AACACGCAGTCCGGATGTAACAAAATGAGAGTGGGAATTTCCAGACATTTCGTGGGAAACTTACAGATGTGTACTGGAAGGGTATTTTTGTTTCTGACCGCAGAGCTTCATGAAGAGATGCAACAAAACAATACAATCTATGACTAAGCAATTCACCAGAGACGCAGAGAGAGGAAGAGAGAGAGAGAGAGACAGAGAGAGAGATGCGGGAGGGGGGCAAAATACAGCTTAGCCTTTTGACCTGTCTTTATCTAAGAACATTAGGATGACTGCTGCATCAGATGATGTTCTTTTTCTTCTTTTTTCGTTCGCTTGAAATAGATTATTTATATCTGCAATATTGTCTCTAGTATGAACTTCATTGTCTTTTGTAAATGACTCAGCAACCCGTAAAGTGTGACTTGTACCTATGTTTCTCATGGCCAAAGGTTTTGCCTTGATATGTTCGTTTTATTTGGGACAGTCTTGGAGGACATGATCTGTTGTCTCAGCTGCCAATCCACATGTGCACATGACTGATTCGCAGATTTTAAATTGTGTATAGATGTGGCTGCGAAGTCGATTGTGTCCTGTTCTAAGGCGTAGAATAATAACTTGCTCTGGTCTGTCCATAGAATGCTAATCGTCTTGTGTCGGTTTTGGTGACTTTCTTATTGATTTTATTATTCTCTTATTTTGTTGATAAGAGACTGGTACGTCAAGTTGTTCTTCATGTGCGCTTTCATTAGCTAGTTAATCAGCTCTTTCATTTCCAGGAACTTCACAGTGACATAGTATCCATTGCAGAGTTACCTTACACCCGCTGCCTAGTTTGAAGAGTAGTGTTCGTATACCAGGTAGTTTTCCAGATTGAAGTCCTGATGCACCGCTCTTGCATCTGTTAAAAATACAACGGGTTGTGAAATATGATGTAAATTTAACACTCTGCTGCTATTTTGATGGCTTAAACTTCTGCATCATAGTTGTGACAATGCTTTCCTGTAGGTATTTTATCGGTATGTCTGGTATTGTTTTGATGATTTATTTCAGATAATGTGACCTGCATGAGATTGCCTAATGTAAAAACATAACATATAAGTGATAGCAAACGAGTGTAACAATTCAAAGTCGCAAATATCAACTTCATTCCACGGTTCTTGGTTGTTGTTTTTTTTTTTTTTTTAAAGCAATATATTTCTTTCAGTGCAGAATGGCCAGTCATATGCCGAGTGTTGCACAAAGCTCGAGCTTTGCGGCTACACCGACAGTGCATAGGCATCTTCGTACGGATTGCACACGTGAGCTAAACGATGCAGTCCATGAAACAAACTCACAATCTTCAAAGCATAAGACAAACTGCTTGACCATTTGAATGTCTGCTGATTGATTGTCTCGTTTTAAATGGCTCTGATTGTTTGTCTCGTTTTATATGGCTCTGATTGTTTGTCTCGTTTTATATGGTGTGACAATACGCGCGGTGACTTCGGAATGTCTTTCCTCAACCTACTTTTATTTGTATGTATTTTGAAGTATACAGACAAATAGGGATTTGGATACATCCTTAATCTAAATAGGATGACCACATCACACCTTTAATTCTCCTGGACCGTTGGTCATATCAAACACTAAAACTTTTTCCCAGATGTTAAGTGTTAAGGTACAGAGATAAGACTGACCAAGCAGACTTACTGACTGGAGATTTGCACACCATTTGTTGGTGTCAGATAGTTATTCCCCCTGCCAGATCTTCAGGAACAGATAACAAGGGCTAATTGCCATTATCTCCCCCTGAGGTTACCTAAACTGGAGTGCCGGTCAGATCGTCAATATTGACACAGTGAGCGGAAAGTGTTGGCAGAAGAATTGACAAAGTCGGATTTTATTGTGATGACAGGTGAAGTAGGCCGGAGGTGTGACTTGTCCTATTTGCTCTGACCAGCTTAATTGAACCAGGAGATCCGAGCGTGGGAATTCAAACAATTGTTGTACAGTCACTGACTGACAGTGAATATACACCCACAGGGAGGAGCTGTGATATCCTCGAATGAGAATGATTTTAGGCGTAATGTAGGAGGAGCTTGATAAAAGTTATAAAGGGCTGAACTCTAGGTCTGGTAAATGAGATCCTGTCCAGCACATGCCATCTGTTGGGCTTAACCTAAGCTTGAGACAGAACTTTTGGCATCGTGGTTTCATTTTTCCAGGTAAGATCGAAATTAGGTTCAAATCTATATTTTATGATAGAGTTCTAACTGTCTTTTTACTCAAGTGTGTGTCTTCATCACTTTGTAGTACTCCTAGGCGGACATTTCTTCATTCTCGTAGGGCACTGTCACATTGCTTTATATCCTATTTGATAGTGTCATGAATGTTTTTCGTGCACATGTGTTTCAATGTTGTAAAACCTAAATGTTGTTGTTGCCATTGAAATTTAATGAACTATCATGTTTTTGAAATCACAAGCGTGAAGATAACTTTGGCAATCTTTTCACGTGTGGTTAATGTGAATCTGTATTACATACAGCTAACACACTGAAATGTGTTTAACTCTCGGGAGGCTAATGCGGAGATTGATCCCGGAGAGTAAATCCACGAGATTTGTTATTTGATTCGCCTCAGAAATATTGTTAGCTTTCTGGGCGCGTCGATTGTTCCAAGCATAGATTCCAGAACTGGTTCTGTCTGACTGATTGTCATTTTGAGTCTGTACGAGAGCTGGCACCTGACGTAGAAGACTTGACTATCATTACAGGACGTGTAGAGGAAGGCAGAAGATGTAACAGTTGGAATGTGAGACATAAGCCCTTCCAAATTGGACAGGAGTGAATGTGAGCATGAGGGAGAGATGAAATGTTTTATTTAAATAAACATGCTTGATGTTAGTATAATATACATGCTTAGTGTACATCTAGAGCAGATACTACAAATATGCGCTTGTTTCTTCATTCTCCAGTTCCCACATTGGGCTGGGACTAGTAGGCATCCATTATTTGCCGACCGTCGAGTGTAACGACCTGCAGAAAGCAGTGAGGACGACAAACTGGAAAAGATAGGCAGGGTCTCAAGCCGAGAACTGTCCAAAGGTTGTTACTTTCCAATATCCTTATGATTTCATCATTCACATAACCTAAACTCTACTAGCCTAAACAAGTTCATTTTATTTTAGTCAGATTTATTAAATAAATCTTTTTGATGTTTAAACATAGTTGAGTAAATGGTGTACTTAGGTTCAAGTGTCTTTGTGCATATTAGTTTACTTCAGCTAACAAATATTTAAATCACTTGATGGGGGCTTTTTTTGCAATGCCAGGAGAGGAGACCAGTCGCAGGGGTTAACTGAGCACCTGGATTATATCACAGTGGGTGTATCCAGATATCTATCTATCCCTTCTCCTTCTCCTGTGGATACAAGTACAGCAACTTTCATTTCATGGAACGAGCCACTCGCTGTTTTCTTGGCTATCCAGGACTGTCTAGGATCAGCATAGCTTAGATAATAGTCCAGTTTCTCACGTGGGTGGGCATTGTTAAGGTTCAAACCCACACCCTCACTATATCAGTGTAGTTACCCACGTGGGCGCGCGACATATGGCTCTGATTGTTTGTCTCGTTTTATATGGCTCTGATTGTTTGTCTCGTTTTATATGGCTCTGATTGTTTGTCTCATTTTATATGGCTCTGATTGTTTGTCTTGTTTTAAATGGCTCTGATTGTTTGTCTCGTTTTATATGGCTCTGATTGTCTGTCTCGTTTTATATGGCTCTGATTGTTTGTCTCGTTTTGTATGGCTCTGATTGTTTGTCTCGTTTTATATGGCTCTGATTGTTTGTCTCGTTTTATATGGCCCTGATTGTTTGTCTCGTTTTATATGGCTCTGATTGTTTGTCTCGTTTTATATGGCTCTGATTGTTTGTCTCGTTTTATATGGCTCTGATTATTTGTCTCATTTTATATGGCTCTGATCGTTTGTCTCGTTTTATATGGCTCTGATTGTTTGTCTCGTTTTATATGGCTCTGATTGTTTGTCTCGTTTTATATGGCTCTGATTGTTTGTCTCGTTTTATATGGCTCTGATTGTTTGTCTCGTTTTATATGGCTCTGATTGTTTGTCTCATTTTATATGGCTCTGATTGTTTGTCTCGTTTTATGTGGCTCTGATTGTTTGTCTCGTTTTATATGGCTCTGATTGTTTGTCTCGTTTTATATGGCTCTGATTATTTGTCTCATTTTATATGGCTCTAATTGTTTGTCTCGTTTTATATGGCTCTGATTGTTTGTCTCGTTTTATATGGCTCTGATTGTTTGCTTCGTTTTATATGGCTCTGATTGTTTGTCTTGTTTTATATGGCTCTGATTGTTTGTCTTGTTTTATAGGGCTCTGATTGTTTGTCTCGTTTTATATGGCTCTGATTGTTTGTCTCGTTTTATATGGCTCTGATTGTTTGCTTCGTTTTATATGACTCTGATTGTTTGTCTTGTTTTATATGGCTCTGATTGTTTGTCTCGTTTTATATGGCTCTGATTGTTTGTCTCGTTTTATATGGCTCTGAAACGTGCAGGACAACAAAAAGAGATAAGACCTTATTACAGGTTTTTGGAAACAGTCTTACAACGAATCTTTGGACCCATCAAAGATGCAACAGCTGGGAATGGAGAGTGAGAAGCAACAACGTAATTCATAATCTGTTTAAATCACCACTGATCACTGGCATCAGGAGAGCTAATAGACTGAAATGGTTGGGGCATATTAAAAGAATGTCAGATGACAGAGAAGTAAAAACTATATACACAAGGGAGATTAATGGTCGTAGACCACGAGGCAGACCAAGAAGAATATGGAGAGATAATGTCCAGACAGACCTGCAAACACTTGGTGTCACCAACTGGAAAGAGAAGGCCAACCAGTGAGATTAATGGAGGCAGGTAATATCTGCAGTAATGAACCTCAAGGGCTGGGAATGCTGAAAAAGAAGATTGTTTGTCTGGTTTATCTATGTGCTGTTTTTCTTGTTCACTTACAGAGAGAGCTGCCAGGCTGTCAAGTCTGTGTTTTGTTTCCGTCATCTTGCGGAACTGGAGGACATGAAATCCACAGGCAAGCTGTCAAGCAACATCGGCCTGCTGAGTCTAGCTGATTGTCTAACATTGCCCAGTAAATGGAACTCCTCTGAGTTGTGTGTTGAGTCTGATCATCATGGATATTCTCCCAGTTTAGTCCGAGGTTAGTGGTCTCCTACTACCAAGACTTCTTGTTGTTGCTTTTTTTGTGATCCTACTGTTGCCAGGTTGTAGCCCAGTAACCAGATTTTCTCTGTTTTCATCACACTGTTTGTTAAGTTGTGCAGTTAGAAATAATTCTAGGACAGGCCCAGCAACCCGTTAGAGGATTTAATTGTTCAAACACAAATACTCAAGAAGAGAAAACATCCACACAAGCTACCCAGCTAGAAAAAAAACGGGAAACTAGGACTAACTTCTCTCTGCAGTTTCTTTTAGCATGAGCAGTAGAGCAAATGGAGAAGAAGTTACCATGCTGTAGTCCAGTGTTGTGTGCTTCTGTATTTGTCAGTTGCTTCTCCAGTGGCCTGAATGATTCATTTATCCTTTTTCTTTTGGGGGAAAGAGTGGGTTGGGAAGTTAGGTTTCAGCTATGCCATCTTTTCATCTCTTTACTAGTCTTCCTCTAGTCTTCAACACAGATGTTCTGCTGTAGAAGGTCTGATATACAGTGTTGTCTGGCCGTTTTCTGACTATGATCAAACTGTTTCCTTCTCTGTCTTTTGATGTAATAAAAACACAGTCTTGTTGCAGCATTCTTTCTTATGCTGGTTATTTTTTATGCTGTCCTTTTTTTTATTGTTGGTGACCTTTCAGAAAAAGCGCATCAGGTAATTATTTTCTGTTCCTCTGACAAACTCATTGTCCATTGTTTGGCACTGATATGATAAGAACATACTATTAATCATTTGTCATTTCCTGTATGTCAGACATTTGGGTGTCTGAGCAGTTGAGCTAGCTAATAAGTGATAGCTTGCTACCAAAGTTTAACTTATCCTATCTTACCTCATCTCATACCTTGAGCTGTTGAGGTCGAGTATAAGTAGCCCATCTGTGTGCTTCCTAAGCTATGTTCCCAGGGACAATCTTTTAACCATGTCCAACATTTAAATGATTGCCGTCTTGATGTTCCCTTGATGTGCGTGTTGATGCATGCTGTTTGTTGACAGCTGATTAAGATGGCTTAACCCAAACTATATTAATCAGACAGCCCCCATGTTCTTGGGACAAAATGAGAGTGAAGATTAGGAACACTGCTGAGATTGGTTTACAGTACCCTGGAGATTTTTTTTATTTTATCTTTCCTTCCAGGATTGCATACTTTAGTATTTGGATAATAATCTAACATAAGTAGATCCCAAATTAATCCGCCCCAAAATGGGATGCAATTTGTATGTGTGCGTGTTATTTTAAAGTCCTACCGAGGCTCTTATCATTAGCTCCAAATATAACCTAACGGTTTCTGGGATCTGCACCTGGGTTATTCTCATCCAAATGGTGGTACTTTGTGTCATGGGGTGTTTACCACTCGTTGTGCGATCCTGGAGGGGCTGAACATCAGTAATTCAGGAGCAGATCCAAGAAACCCCTTTCAATCCTTAAACACAGTTATATTTTGTAGGACACCCTGCTGATTGCACAGTCCACTATGGGTGGATTATGTCATACAGAATTAGCCACACAAAAATGTTAACACTGTAATCGCCAAGCATTTAAAAGTGTCTACATGTACAATATCTGCGGTCTTTGAATACATTACGGTAGCAATGTGGAGTATTGAATTTTTTATACACAACCTGTATATACATTTTTTGATACTAAATTTATTGAAACACAAAGAGCTGCATACAGGTCACATGTGATTTATGAAGTTACTCCAGGTGCTCAATGTGATTCCCATTAGCCTCCACAAACTTTTCATAACCAGAATACAACACATCATCCACAGTAAACTATAGGTGTGTGCTGTATGGTTATTTGGTTTAACAGGGTTTCTTGTATATTTATATGTTTTATTCTCATCTTTGAGATGTTAATCCTGCAGACTGTATTGCTGGAGGGGGAAAATAACCATTTTGAAAAATACAAGAAATCATCCTCTATCCTTACCTGCTAATTACATCAAGCTCATGTTCGCCCTTACAATTACCCTGATTATAAATTCCTTTGAGATTGAAGGAAGTATCTAGGCTTGCCCTATTGGTCTGTTACCAACACTAGACTTTTTTATTCTCATGATGTCAAAACTTCAAGTCCTGTTGGTCTGCCATTCATATTGAGATCTTCTTATCTCAGGGTGTCAGAACTTCAGATCTTGTTGGTCTCCCATTCAGATTTAGATCTTCTTATCTCAGACTACCAGATTTTTAGATGGCATGGCAGGTCACTTTGTAACCAAAAGATTGCCCTAACAGATTGTAACTGTCTCACAGAGCGTGTTGAGAAAGGTGGAGACAGGCATGCTCCGAGCAGAGTAACAAGCATCACTTCAGAGGCTGCAGGTGGTTAGCATCCTTTGGACATTTTCTCCAGGTTATGCCGGTGTGATCAGAAATTAGCAGCCCGATAGACTGGCTGGTTCTGCACCACTTGGTGGTGAAGTGATGTATGACAGGCTAGACGTTGTGAGGGCCCTTTGAAAGTGATTGAACAGTGAGGAAGCACAGATAGGTCATTATGGTATGAGAAGAATGGTGCTGCGAGGAGTTACTAGGGGATCTGGCCGATGCTGAACACTCAAGTTACTGGTGTTACTGGAAAAGGAACTCTTCACTTGCTGCTGAAGATGGGATGGAGTGCTTATGGGAGTGTCTCTAGTGCTGAGATGTTGATTCTTAATTCAACATTCAACAGGATTGCCCTTCTATATCTGTGTTGTATGACTAAACAGGGTTTCTGTGATTTGTTTCTGTGTGATTCTCATCTTTGAGGTGTTAATCCTACAGACCACAATCCTGGAGGGGAACAGTGACAGCCACCACCACCTAGGAACTTAAAATACCATGCAATCATAAATTGCTAAGACTACAGCTTGGATCGTCTGGCTTTACTATATCGGAAGAGACCTGTAATGTATGCCAGAAATACAATAATATAGTACACTATTTGCTGGAGTGTAGGAAATATGAAAACCAAAGGAAACTGACTACATGAATCTCTGTAAATTATTACATGTGAGGATGGAAAACTTGCTGCACATAAACAGCCACAGAGACCTGCGTGCAAGGTCAAGCAATTTATTACTCGGACTAAAATCAATATATAGAAGGGTAAAGAATGCCCTTGGCATCTTTGAAGAAGTTTCCCCTAAATATAAAATCGAGGAGAATAATCAAAGATTGCACACTTAGGTAACTATGTGTCCACCATGCTGATGACACAATGTTATTAAGAATGTCTAATTATTCAAAGTACAGTTTCTATCATAATCACAATACAATTCAAAGCAAAAAATGAAACAATACAAATTTCATTTTGGTCATATAAATAATTACACTAAATATAAATTTAAAATAACGAATATATACTCTGAGAACTCAATTAACACTATATGTTACAATTATAACCTGAAGGATTGAACAGGATATTTTTGAAAATTACTACTGCTACTTTGAGTACATCCTTCATCCTCATCATGTGCCCTGCCAACTGGTGTAGGCGCTCATGCGTCTCTACATATCACGATCCCTGGTTGCCTGGAGAAGCTCTCTTGCTGGTATTCCTCCATGCCAATGTTTCAGCCCATCCAGCATCATCTATCTTGGTATACCTCTACCCCTTTTTCCACTGATCTTTCCAGTTGTCACAATGTTCTCCAATGTCTCTCTTCTCATTGTGTCACCAAAGAACAGTAGCGATCTTCTCTCATTAGTTTCTTTCAAGCAATTGTTGTTAGTTACTCTGGCCATCCAAGGTATTTGTAACATTTGTCTCAGAAACCACATCTCCGTTGCATCCAAATTCTTCCTAATTTGTTCACTGACATTCCAAGATTCGCTGCCATACAGCAGAACAGGTTGTATGTAACATTTTAGCACCCTCTTTCTGACATTAAATGAGAGCGATTTATTGCATAAGATATTTAGTACATCCTTACAAGCAGAAAACTGTTAAGGGAACAGCTGTCTTGTTGTGTAGTATTTGGGCCAGTAAAATTATTTTCACAATACTTTCAGATGACTGTTATGTGGAGAAAGGCCGCTGGTATAACGGAACTGTCAGTGTCACCAAATCTGGCCTAACTTGCCAGGCGTGGCTGGAAGTATCTCCTCAAAAACACGACCGTTCACCTTTAATATTCCCAGAGCTGGTAGGGGCAGAGAATTTTTGTCGCAACCCTGGTGGGGAAGAAAGTCAGCCGTGGTGCTACACAACTGACATACAATATAGATGGGAGATCTGCGACATTGATCCATGTGGTATGTGTGTTATTATTTGTTTATTTAAGATGTGTGATTCATTACCTGTATGTGTGGGGTATGTATATATGTAGCATTATTCAGCATATGTGATTCTACTACCTGCATTTGTGGGGCTTATAAATATCTGACATTAGTTAACATATATTTTTACTTGTATATGTGTGATATGTTTCTGTGTATCTTCTTTTGTCTTTCCACTACTCCTGGAATGTCTCACAGCATCACAGCAAAGAGAGATCTCTATAGTGGGACCTTCTGTTTACTTCATGTAAAGCACTTTTCGGTGACTCTGGAAATTTCTGCTGTCCATATTCTGCGTGGTTGGCCTCTGGGTCTGTTACTGTTGTATCTGTATAACATTGCTCACTGTGGTGCCCTGTTTGAGCAATGTTATACACATACAGTGGTAACAGAGCAAGATTTCAACCACACAGAAGATGGACCACATAAATATCTGTGTATGATATGTGTAAATATAGCATTACTATTATTTTTATTAATATCTTTACATATAAGATACTTGTATGTATAGCATTGTTTTCTATATGGTTCTAATACATTTGTATCTATATAAATATGGTATGTGCATATGTAATATTATCATAGTATATGTAACATCATATATGACTTTAATACCTGTATATGGGGGGTATGTGTATATTTTGCATTTATTAACATATGTGATTCTTTATCTGTAGGTGTGAGGCATGTGTATATGTGGTATTCATATACCTCTAACCTCAACTTCCCTCATACCTATCACCACCACATGTTTGGCATATGGTACTAGCCCAAATGAGTGAATGAATCAAGAACTGACATGACTGCACTTTAAACTTCCCAGATGTGTTTCGTCCTCTTCTTCGAAGATTTGACATGCTAAAAGTATTGGTTGCAACCTGATCAAAAGGTCACCTCCATCTCTCTTTTAATGTCGAGCATCCTTCAGAACCTCTACTCACTCCCCGCTGAACCAGTCCCCCAATGCATGGACTCCCCCATCTGCTCCTCTCCACTCGATCTCACAGAGCTCCCCACCACACCCGCTCCATCATGCAAAAGCTTACTGCTCTGTGGAGTGGCAGCAGCCATTCAGCCAGCCCGCCTGCCACCTCGCATACCCGAATGCCATGGACAGAAAATCCATGATGCGCTCTAGATCCGGGTCTCACCAAGTGACTTGAGCCACTCTGTGCGCAGGACACCAGTTTCAACCCTCTGAAGCACACCCCGTGAGTCTGCCACAATTGCTACATGCCAGGCTGTGCTGCCCCCCAAGCCACTGCCAAGCCACCAACACTGCTTCCACCCCCACACTAGCTCCAATGTTTTGTAAATTAGTTGGCACTTGACAGGTACTATGGTCAGAAGCATGGTATGGCAGCCACTTTTACTTCCCAGGATATATCCTGGTACCAAATTTAGGCTAGGTTTGATTTGCAGCCCAGGTTAGGGTTTTTTAAATCCTCACTTCAAAAGGGATTCAAATACTTGGGTTTCCAGACCATCAGGCAAGTGTGCTAGTTACAACAGCTCTGCATTTTAGTTTCTCTGTGACTATGGGTGTTTTATTTTTGTTATGTTATGTTAACACAGTTGACATTAACATACAAGCTCACTCATCCAAGCAGAGGCCATTCCAAGATAACTGTACTGATTTTTCCCCTGAGAAATTGGTTTTGTCTTCTATTTTGATCTTGAAAACATGCTTGAACAGTCCCAGATCATGTATTCTTATCTGTGCCAAAAATTTGTCATTATCCACAAGCTTAGTCCATTCAGGCTTGATGATATCATATCTGTCCATGTTTTCTTCTGTGCGTATTTATGCATTTATTATGGCATTACTACTTGGAACTACATGATAAGTTCACATCAACACTTGGAGGGTACAGGTTGAAGAAAGAGACATGGTTCAATGCTGCTGTTTTCGCCTACGATGTGTACGAGGGATTTCAGATTAAAGAAGAGACATGTGCGGCAGTGTTGGACTTAGAAGATGCCTACAATAAAGTACCATATGATTATTTAATGCAATTACTGCTTAAACTAGACGTCAATCCTATTCTGATCCGCTGGATTGCTGCGGTCCTGTTCCAGGGAAAGATTGTACTAAGATGTGGTAGCTGGTCCTCAGAACTGCAAACGATATGTCCAGGCGTGCCACAGGGATCACCGATATCACCAGTCTTATTCAATGTTTACACGGTGATGATCACTGAGCAGCAGTTGAATGGAAAGAGAAGGACTTTGTCATTTGCTGATGACATTTTGATTTATCGACGAGGGCGTGATAGGCAGGAGATCGCCAGCACAATGCACAAAGAACTTGATCGAATTACCGCCTGGTGTGATGGTTCCAATGCCTATGTCAATCCTTCGAAGGCATCAGTGTCATGGTTCTCTTTGAACAATCACATTGTCAAGTCGGACTTACCAGAAGTGAAAATGCGTGATAATGTATTGATCAGAACCAACGTTATGACGTTTTTCGGGGTGAGGTTCGATCGCAGCTTGTCATTCAGGGAACACGTTGACCATGTGATAACAAAAGCACGCAAAGGTCTATCTGCAATGAGGATTATGGCTGCTTCCAATATCGAGCAAAGACTACTAATACTTCTTTTCTATGGTCTGGTCCTTTCACCCATTGAATACGCTCTGGCCATCCTCACTGTCAGTGCTACCCAGATTGAACGACTCGAAAAGGTGCAAAATGAGGCCATGCGCATTTTTTTGGGGATGTACAAGAGACACATCCTGTGGAGCAATGAGGTATCTACTTGACTTTCCAACAATGAACCAAAGGATCAGGATGTGGAGGGCTCGGGCATACCTCAAAATATGTGCTGATAAGAAACACCCACTGCATCAAGCGCTTTTTAGTGAAAAGGACGACAGACTGAAGAGGGGAAAATCGTGGCTAGGTCGGGCAGAAGATGTTATTAGGCAAATATGCAGCCTAACCGACATCATACCTGGTGCAGAATGGATACCTGTGCCTCAGGCATTTATTTGTACATTTTCCTGTATTGTCACACTCAACATGCGATGTAGAGAAGAAAATCCTGTTGCTGTTAATGCAGAAGTCAACGCTCTCATCGGTGAAAATTCAGACGAAGCAGATGCACTAATCTATACAGACGGATCCGTTATACGCCAAAGAAGAAGCGCATGGGCATTTACAGCACGCTCAGCGGGCAGAACAGTCAAAGAAGCCAACGGCGCCTTCTCCATGACAACCAGCAGCATGACGATGGAGGTGATGGCAGTAACGCAAGCGTTTGCCTGGCTTGAAACACAAAAATGCACCCGCATATGTATACTCAGTGATTCAATGAGTATGATCCGGAGGGTTCAGGCAGGTTCAGTGCGAAGACAATGGCTTGAATCATTACAGAAGTCCACTGTGCGTGGAGTCACCTTTATTTTTGTTCCGGGACACGCAGGCGTCGATGGAAATGAAAGAGCTGACAGGTTGGCTGGATCCGCTATCACCACCGACGGTCGGCCTATAGATCATGCTGATATTATCAATGGGAAGGATAGAGGACTTTGGTGGCAGTGAATCCACATCACTAGCCAGAATGGCAGACTTGGGAATTAAGATCGGCACAGCAAAAAACGAGACGCACACCGGACACGTCAGAAGACTTGTTAATCAACATAGAATTGGTACTATTAGCCATCAGACGTTGGGGTTCATACTGAGGGGAGGATCTGAGCACCTATGGACATGTCCGGAGTGCAATGATGATAACCCAACCAACTAACTAACTAACTAACTAACTAACTAACTATGGCATTACTTCTTGTTTTCTTCCTAACCAGATTATGATCCAGATGAAGAGAATGGAGGTGACTTGACTCTGTTTTATATTATTGGGGCCGTTATACTTGTCACTGTCTGCTGCAGTGTAGGCATTCTGTGTTTTCTAGTGAGGTACTGCCTGCGCATACAGCACACAGCTTCAGTGAATGAAGATGAGGACATCAGTGTGGAGAATCTGCCTCTCAATTCTGCTTATCATCAGGTCAGAAATTTGTGATGTTTTGTGCGTAAAGATAAAATTTTTTTAACTGTTTAAGTTGAAAGAAATAGGAAACTTTTTCTGTTAAAGTTCTTTTTCTTCTTCTTCACTTCCTATTTTACCGCTGTGGGTGTCGAGGGAGATATAAGGTTCTGTTTCTGGCTCTTCTGGCCGCCTCGACCATAGGCAAATCATGCTGTTGTAGAGTTTCTCTGATGTTATCCTTCCATCTTGTTCTTGGTCTGCCTCTTGCTCTACGTCCTTCTTCTCTTTTCATGTATGCTTTGTATGGTATGGTGTCACAAGGCATTCTGTCTAAGTAGGCAAAGATGGGGCAACCCGTTTGCTATGAAGCTGAAACTAAGACTACCAGACTACCAGACTACCAGCATGGGCTATAAAAAGTTTGTCTTTCTATGTCTGTTTTTTTTCCTGTACAGCCGAGAGCGCAGTCAGTACATGTCAGAATGTTTATCGTACCAATTTATGTGGCTTAAGGCTACCTTAGTTATGTATCTGTGAGAATAAAAACGGCTGGTTTATTTGCTTTTTTCTTCCAACAATACATCAAATGAAAGGATGTGATAGTGAGTGGTTAGCCATTTGCCTGCCTGCCAAAACATTGTGGGTTTGAATGTTTTGAGGTGGATTTTTTCATAATTGACCTTGGCTCCCAGGTCGACTCAGTCTAAAATAGATATCAGGTCAAGTCTTTGGAAGTAGAAATGGCCAGGACAATGTTGACCACATCACCCACTGAATGCTAATTGGTCTTTAAAAAAACAATCATTACAGCTTATGCCCAATGTGCCATTTCCTAAATCGCCCCTACCCCCTTTTTTTCCCCAAAAATACATACAATGTTAACACCCTATTTTTCTCTCATTTCATATTTTTCAGATGAAATCCAATAGGCTAAATCCAAAGTTGGAAACTCTAGAGTTTCCCAGAAATGACATCGTTTTT